CTGGCAGGCAGCAGACTAGCATCATTTCCATTGTAATAAAAGATGACCAAATAAAAACAAAAAAAGAGAATATATTTTTCCCCTAACAAGTGGAAAATCCCTGGAGGAGACACAGATCCCTTCTGAGGCTGTACGTACACAATCAAAACACGTGGCAACCCCTTGTGAATGATGTCCCGGTTAACACTGTCCACAAGTCTGCTTGGGTCCCATAAATTTTGTGTGGAAAGTATAATCAACGCTTTACAATGCACCAACTATAAATGCGCCCCAGGCGGCGAACTTAAGAACGCCTACTCGGCCATCGGGTCTCCAGCTGTCTGTGTCCGCATCGGAGTATAATTTAATCTAAAGGGAGCAGCAGAAAGAAGCTTCTTCTACTTACACAAACAGTAAAACTGCACAGGTAATCGCAGTACATGTTGTACTTGAGTCAAATTATGAAACTAAAAATTTACTGAACGCTTTAGACACATCGATACCTTTTGTTCGTACGTGGTTATTACCCACTTCTGTTCATAATGGAGTGGGCTCATCTGATCTGAGGCTGACTCAAGTCACCTGTTGTCTTTTTGTTGGCAGGCATTAGCATCAGAGAGAGTGACAGTCAGCCTCCCCCTCACTGCCCATCTGTACTCATCCACCTCCTGAAAGCCTTTCATGGCTATTAAAAGAGAGCTGGCTACTATCTAATTAAGCCCAGACAGCAGGATGGGGTTATCACAATATTAGTTTTTATATATAATCAGTCTTATCTGGGAAGATAAAAAAGCTCAACGTGATTTGATTACGTTTTTACACTTGGTGTTTGAGAGTGAGACAAAGTGACAACATTAGAAAGCTGCTCAGGTACGAAAGAAAAGGAAACGATCACAGCTAGAAGGTGAGAGCGTCCATATGCTAAACCTGGTTTTACCAGACCCCTAACCCCTAACCCACATGCTGATATGACCTTTGAAAGCTTAGCAAAATTTTAATTTTTCTGTCCCTGGCATTAAATAGTGCAGTGAAGCTATGATATATCCCATGGTACCGATTCTCAGGGGTGATCACGGTGCAAAACTGTGTTTTTTGCCTTTAGCTTGTGACATTTGGAGTTGATCTGGATGCAGCAGAGTTCAATTGTGTTTTTCAGTCCTGAAACCCTGATGTACTTCCAAAACCTCAAACACAAAAAATATTTACGGTATGGAGGTAAAATTTTGTGAGACTCACTGACTTTTCATGGAAGGACCCATATCAAAATGCAAACACAAACTCTCAGCTAGAAGTCTTTCTAGTAATTTCATGCAGCCCACATACCAGAAATTGTTGTGTATTAGAGAAGCCGAGCAAAACTTGGCAGTAGTTTGAGGCAGTATACCTTTTTCAACTAATTATTTTCTGCTAGTGTTGAAGCTGTATTGTAGTTTCATAATTTGCAAACCATTACGAAGCACTGATAAATTCTCATTAACCTCCTAAGACCCGAACTCTTCCACTGCATGCATTTTTAATTTCTCTTTGATATTTGGACATATTGGGGCCCGATGAATGTAAAAACAAAGAATTACCAGATTCTTTTTTTGCCTTATTTTTGTTTTGAAGAAAAATGAGAGCCACATATGAGGATATTAAAATTTTGATAGAACAGTAGCAGTATAATGTCCTCGTAAGTGGATATCAGGCCCTTGTAGAGCAAAATTCTGTATTTTGGTCTAAATAACCCAAAATGTGATGTCCACATAAGTGGACGCCTGGTCCTAGGAGGTTAAAGGGAAACAAATTTGCCTCAAATGAATCAGAGGATAACCAATCTAGTAGCATGTCATCCATAGTGCCAGACATTATGTAAACTTTTGGTAACACTTTAAAATATGGCCCACATCTAAGGGTGTAATACACATGTAATTACATGGAATTTCAATGTATTTTGTTTCAACTTACAATAAGTATATTTACATAAAATACTTAAAGTCAGGCACACTGCAATAAGGTGATAACAAGACAGGCTTTTGCAGGAAACAAAGAAATAACTATATTATAAGTAATTTTAAGTAGTTTTGCAGGATAACAAAACAATATTTCTCCGTCTCCCATCGGAAACTTCAGCCTCTGAATTAAGTCATCTTGCACATCAGCCTAAAAAACTGTCTGTAGGGGGAAAAAATATTAATTTTACCTACTGTTAATTTTACCTACTGTCTGTTTTTCTTTGCTTATTCTTTGTTGTCATTGTTGAAAACTGCTTTAATCTATAATGAATAGTGATAATGTAATTACAAGAGAGAAGAACATTTATTTATTTATTAGGTGTTGAGCGGCAGTCTGCCCCTGATTAGAAGGAACAACCAAGCTGAGATTGGATTGGCCCGAGAGGCAGGGGG